ATTCTTGTTCGGTAGCTTTGCTCTGCTATGAGCTGAGGGGGATGTTGCTGGAAAGTGCAAAATCCACACTCAGAAAGGAATGCAACCACAACCAAACACAGCTACAACCCTTGCGATGAGGTGGGAATGGCCGTGGCCCAGCCTCACTGAGCAGCCTCAGCTGGGAGACTCCAGCAACAAAACGATCTCGAGGTGCCTTGAGATGCCGCTTTCTGCCTTCCAGCTCTCAGCCAGCTTCCTTGCCAAGCTCACTGTGATGTCCCACATCGCTGCCTCCCTGCTGTGCCACTCACCTTCCTTAGCAGCAACCACAGGGCACGACTTCAGCGGGTGACTCCAGGAGGGAAGACCCCAGACCCCTTCCCACTGCCTCCTTCTCACCCCTGCTGTGCCCCATCACCTGGGAGTCCCAGCACAGACCAAGAACCGTCCCTTCTGTCTGGTAGGTCACTGTGTTGGAGGACTTGGAACAAGCAACAGTTCCTCTGCAGGGAAGGGGTAAGAAGGTCTGCTCTATTTCTCCTTCTCAATGAGCTGCAAAGAGCTTCCGAGCTGTCCAATTAAAACAAGTCTCTGACAAAAATAGGATGAGAGGGAGCTACTTTAAAAACAAAACAATCCTGCACAGCCCTTCCCTTCTCAGGGGCTCCTATGGAAGTGCCAGCTTTAGATCTGCTTTGGGTATTTCTTTCACTGGAAGCCACAGCAGGCAGTGACCTGGCGCTGGCTGGGAGAACATGGCAGTGAGTGAGAGCAGGCTTGCAGGCACCATCACGTCTCCCCTAAAGGCTGATTTTGCTGCAGCCCAAAGAGCAGAAATAAGATTCTGAGTGTGGGAAAGAGCAGAGCAGATGTTGGCACACACAGCACCAGCAGCCAGCCAAGCCCGTGGGAGGCCGTGCAGCAAACATCACTTCAGGCCCTGAGACTCCAAAACAGGGAGGATGGGTTCCTGAGCTCACAGGTCTGAGTCCAGCTCCAGGTCCCTGCAACCTGGACCAGCTCTGTGGTCATGGGAGCCCCTCATCAGGGAGGGCTCTGCTGCTGCTTGCTGCTGTCCCAGCTTCACTCCTCGCGGCTCGGTGTGAAGACCAGCTGCTGATGGAAAGGCACGCAAGCAGTCGCTGCACTGAGCAGGCAGGAAGTTTCAGTGGTGATTCAGGACTTGAGAAGCCTCGCTGATCGCAGCAGTGCTGCTTTAAAGGCTCTTCTCTGTCTCATAACACAGCTGACGTGAAGCATAAAAAGGGTCTTAGGTCTTCATCATGAGCCTGGTTTGTTGGGGTTCCTCCTGACTCAGCCCTGCTTTGGCTCTTCAGATGAGATCCCATTGAAATACACCTAAGGCTTGCAATAATCCCACAAGCTCTTTGCCATAGGTGTTTTTGTAAAGTGAATACCCCAGTGCAAACGTGGGAGCTTGTCTTACTCCTGTTTCTCCACACTGGTGCAGGATAGCAGAACAGCCATAAGCTGGTGCGTTATACTGAGCAGAATTGGAGAAGCTGGAAATAATGGTGTTTGTTTCCTTTGTTCAGGGCAGGACAAGCAGGGCTGGAGGGAGAAACCTCACTGCTCCAGGGGGTCTGCAAAGGGAGAGTGCATTTCACTGCTTTAGCAGGAAGGCAATGGGATGGAGGAGCCTGTGGAGCTGGTTGGTTGTTTCCCTGCATAGCACACCAGGAGCACATGGAGCTCCAACAGTTAATGCCAGAGTTGGGAGCATTTCTGTGGTTTTTGGAGGTGAGGAGTGCCAAGTGACCAAGAGCTGCCCTGGCAGGAGGGCTCCTTTTCCTTACCTCCCTGAGACACAGCCAGGCTCCTCACTTTTCATTCTTGCTATCCCCTTTTTTTGAGGTCGGGGCACCTCAGGCTCAAAGTCGCAATCACTGTAGAATCCCCCCAGATTGTTTTTTATTAACAAAGCCTTTTGACCTAAACAGATTGGCCTATCTCTGCCAGGAAGGCATTACTTTCCAGTCTAATGCACAAGGGAGAACATTGTGAAATGACTGCATAAAGAGGCATTAAAGTAGAGATGATTCGGGGCTATTTGCCTGGTACAGAAATGGAACCATCCACAGCTCGCTCTCTTACCTACCTGTGACTGTCCTCAGGATCAGACTGGAAAAACAAGGGGAGCTCATTCACCTACAGCCTGCTTTCAGTGCCATCTCCGTGCCTCTCTGATCCCAGAATGACGTCGCACTTCTGGGGGTGAAGCGATTTAAACTGTAGAGAAGAAAATCACCAGTTCTGATTATTTCCCTTGGGAGACCAGGATGAGCAGCTTCCAAAATGATGTATGGGAAATCCAAGGAAGATGGGGATGGACAACGTTCCACTGGATGGGAGACGCACCTTTTGGGTGCAAAAGATGAAAGCAGCCTGCTGTGACTGCAGTGCTTCTTGTGAAGCAGAATCGTAGAGGAGAGCAAGATTTCACACAGATTGGGATGAAACAGGGCTGTTCACACACCAGGCAAAGCTGAGATGGAGAGTTTTAGGACTGGCACTCATGGATTCCTTTTGTTAAAGTAATACCTTGGTCCTTGAACCTACATACTGATCCCTAGTGCTGAACAAGCCAGCCTGAACCACAACAAAAAGAGCACCACAGCGACAGACTGAAGTCCTGAATGAAAATGAAAAGTTCCCTGTGAGGATCAGCTCCATAAAGGACCGAGTGCTTCTCAGAGGCGTTCAGCAAAAAGCCTTCTGGATCGAGAAGCTCCCTTACACGAACCTTCCCAACTCCACCTTAAATCCACCCCCACAGATTGAAGCCCTGAAGGTTTCCTTCAGGGTAATGAAGCATGCAGCGAGTTAAGAAGTGGAACAAATCTGAGGAGGTGCCCATTTCACAGGTGGGTGCAGCTTGCTGCTTCCTCCCGGGGCCTTTTCCTCCTGCATCTCCCTGCACACCACGTGCCCCAGCATTCCTGCCCATGGCTCACAGCAGTGGCTCACAGCCGTACCCACGTTTCTCAGGCAGCTCAGACCTCAGGGCTTATTGCATTACCGATTGCACAGCTGTCTGCAGGCTGTTGCAACAGCCCAGGTGCCCCTGGAGGCGTGGAAATCGCTCTCAGCTCTGCATTGCCCACGAGGTCTGCTTATAATTGGAGAGCCATTAAGTGGGATGCTGGGCCCAGGGCACAGACTTCTGCCTCCTGTACCAGCTGAAGAGCTGTCCTCTGCTCACAGTGTGTGTTCCATTCCTTCTGTATCTGGGATCCTTCAAGAGAACAGTGGCAGTGTTTGGGAAGGTTGAGGCTGTGCCACGTTTTTGCTGCTGCCTGCCAGTAGCAGAGCAAACAAGCAGGGCACAGGAGTGTTTATTGCAGGATCTTCTTCCCTAGGTGAGCAAAACCCTCCTGCCTGCCCCTCATCCCTGCAGTGAGTGGATGGAGCTACACGTTAAGCACTGTCTTTTAGAAAGGGCACAAATAAAACGCTGTCATCAGCCCCATTTGGTTTGGGATGCAGCTGTGCTTTATGTCCTTGCTGCGTGAGCAGAGGTGTCTGGTGCTTTATCCCTGCCTCATTTACGAGCTGAAGGAGAATGCCTTGTGAAACGTGAATGGTGAATTTTAGGCAGTGACACAGTTTAAGGTGCCAAGCTTTCCAAAAAGGGAACAAACTTTTGTGTATCCAGCCAGGCTGCCCTCAGTTCTAACTGCTCCAGGGCAAGAGGTCTGTGCCACCTCCATCAAATCTGTGTATGAGGCAGAATCCTCAGCTGTGCCATTACAGGTGGCTGCTGTGAAGATTGTGAGATCCCTCATTTTAGGTAGGAGGAATCTGGAGAGGTTTACACTGTGTTAATGCTTTCCAGCTCCCAGTCCCAAGAAGCTTTCCATGTGCTAATTAATTAAGAGTCGGGTCAGTCTGTCTTCAGCCATGGACAAGCAGCAGCACAGGCTGGTGTTGGGACTGGAGCACGATGCAGGGCTTGGCTGCTAATTGGCATTCCCTGTGCATGGAGGTGAGGAGGGAGGCTTACAGCACACACTGCTGCACAGTCCCTGTCATTTTCTTCATCTCCCATCCAACATCCCAGCACACGCTGTGTGGACCTTACAGCACATCCTGCAGCTGTTCCTTCCTCCTGCTTTATGATGGCCCTAAGTGGCCCAGTATGAAGACCTTTGGGCACTTCTACACCCATTCCTAACCCAGAGGCATGGCTCTGTGTGCTGACGCTGCTCCCTGCAGAGCAGAGCATCGCTGCCCAACTTGCTCCATCCCACCAGCTCACAGTGCCCTCTGCTGCACTCCTTCCCTTCTTCCCAGTAGTAAAAAGTCACTCCCTGAGACAGGAGTGTGTGCTGTCCTGCATCAGTCCTGGGGCGCAGATCAAGTGCAGGCAGGAACTGCTATCCTTTCCAATAACCTTCACCCTGCAGCTTTTCGTTGCTCTGTAAAACAAACAGCTCCTCACTGCAGGAGTGCAGACGTCAGTCTTTGTATCTGTGCTTCTTCAAGTCCTCGGCTCCTGCAGCCAAAAAGGAATGGATGTAAGCAGGGAAAGCCGACCCAGGCTTCATACTTTTGGTGTTAGAGGGAAGAATTAAAAACTAATAATCTTGCTTTGGCTGGGATTTGATTTCCCCACGCGGAACAAAACCAACCTGCAGGCTCGCAGCTGCCAGGGCCACAGGAATCTGTTCGCCTTGCCCGGAATCTGGGCATTCCTCTTGCACCCATCTGGGGCTGCTCTGCACGTTGTCACTCAAGGGCAGGCACGCCCCCTCCGAGAGGCTATTTAAGGAGAAGCTGATGAGCAACTTTCTCCGAAGAGAGACGAGCAATCCCGAAGAAGAAGGCAGTGCGTGGGTCAGCGGGCTGAGTGCCTCCCTTCCCTCACTCGGGATGTCTGGCAGCACAGGGACAGCTGCCCACACTCTGCTTCTTCTGCTCCTTGCCCCTGCCTGGGTATGTATGTATGTACTGCTGATTGCTCTCCGTGTGCTGCAGCTTCTTGCTTCGGTGCATGCGATGCTTTGGGGATGTCTGTCCACCACCGCCTGCCTGGAGCAGTGGGAATGCAGGCAGAGCCCTGTGCACACAGAGCTGCGCTGTGCAGAATGCCTGAGGGTAGCAGAGCTCACTTTGCTGAGCTAAGAGCCAGCCCTGCTTTGGAAGAGGATCAAGAGGTGACATCGCTGGGTTTGCGGCACTGCGAGGACTGGGTCTCACAGCCCACATCATTACCATCATCATCCTCGTGCCCCGAAAATCCACTTGCTCCTGGAGTAGTGACCTGAGGAGGAAGTCGAACCACAGCCCCTGCAGGGCTCTGGGTCTGTTCTGTGTCCAAGAGCACGCACAGAGCAGCTGGTTCTGCTTGGGACGTTTGTGTGCAACACAGCGCTGGTATGAGAGGAAACCCTGCTGCATAATTAATGTGCTTGTTAGCATGCGATCTAATTGCGGTGTCTTTTGGGTCGGTGAAGAAGTTGGGTTGGCTGCTTTGAGTGCCTGTTTGTGTTAATAGGTGCAATAAGCTTCTGATCAGGTTCCATTGCTGCTGGCAGCGCTCACAAGCGTGCTCTGTCCCCCTTCCTGCTGAGCACAGTGCCCTGTGCACCCGGCTGAGATCTGAGGGTTATTTCTGGGCTTTGGAGTGGTTGCTGTTCCTTTCCCTGCCTCAGCATTGGTGCTATCATAGCCATCCTACAAACGATGGCAAACCCTGTCGCTGTGCTGCTCCGTAGTGACCAGGGATGTCATCTTTGTCCTCAAACCTGCTGCCTGGGCAATGGCACTTTGGATGCTCGATGCACACAGCACAGCACCGCAGCTGGCACTGCTGCACCTCGGCCATGCAGGGTGTGCTCAGCTCTGCTGCTCTTTGGGACAAGCTGTGAGGCAGAGCTGCAGCTGTTGGATGGTGCCCCAAGCGCTGCGATGGGAGGAGAGCAGGAATTACCCACAGTAATTGGCTGTTTGCAGTGTGGGAATAGCCGTGTTCTGACTGCTTCATCTTCTGCCAGTCTTGGAGCGTGGAACAGAACCAATTCTGTGCTTACTGAATTAACCCCTGGCTCCCAAAGCAAACAGCCACCCCAGCTCCCAGGCACTCCTTCCCCAGCTCTTTGAGTGCAGGGCTGAGCCCAAGCCTATTGTAAAGGCACTGCCATGCTGGCTCCCTACACTGCAAACTGACCGGGAGCTGCAGAGCTGCTGCAATGCGAGCCCATGTCCCATCCTTACACCTTCAGAGGGTGCAGAGGGAGAGGTTTTGGGTGCATGCAAAGCAGGGAGCACATCTTGCCTCTTTCCCCAGCTCAATGGGAGCTGCCAGCAGAGCTAGGCAGGAGCAGGGAGCATCAGCATGCCAGGTTTGGGCTCTCACTTCCCCAGATCTTCACCTCACTCTGTTATGCTGGTTCTGCTGCTCCTGAAGTTCACAGCAATTCACTCTTAGTGGAAAGAAGAACAAAGCTGTAGTGAATCTGTAGTTGGGATCAGTGATGTTAAAAGGGTGATTTTAAGGACAGACCCTTCAGCAGAGGGGAAGCAAGTGCTGGGCCTATGCAGAACCCCTCTGCAGCTGGGTCCATGGGAGGAAATGCTGCCTTTGTGTTATTAATGGTTGGTAGGGGAGATTTTAATGTGAGTAAGGAGCAGGAGATACAAAAAGCCACGAGTGACTTTGCCTGGCAAAGCAGCAGCCAGGAGACTCAGCACAAATTGGGCCAGGAGGACTGGGTGGGAGAAGGAGCTGGCAGATGGGAAAACCTCTAAAAGATGAGAAGATCACTGCAAACGTGGAAGAGCTGGGGCTTTTGCACATGGATGAGGGAAATGAGTCCGGGGTCTGAGCCTGGCTGTTGTGCTGACAGCAGCTGGATGCATTCTGAGGTGAGTTCTTAAGGAAACAAACAGCACCAACAGTGATTCATGATGGCAAGAAGGAAAACTCAGCTGGCTTTAATTCCCTTGGGTTCTCTGTTGTGCAGAAAGAGGTTGTTTTGGTTTGGTTTGCAGTAGGAGAGATATTTTGGGTGTTTCTTTATATGGCCTGTGGCTGATGCTGTGCTGGAAAAAGCTGTTTGTCATCGTTTCTTTCAGTGCAGCTGAACACAGGCCCTGTGCTAGGAATGCTTTGCCCCTTCTACCATCTCATCCCCCCCATCCACTCATCCATGGTTAAATAACATCTCATGCACGGAAACCAGCAGGACATCGCTGCTGCATTGTCACTGTATTTAATGCTTTACTGCCATTACTGGTAATGAGCAGAGCATCCAAGGAAGCTGTTCACAGGCAGGGCAGTGGGACATAAAGCCATGCTGAGTTCCAGCTGGAGCTCACCAGGTGCCCAGGGTGGCACAGCTCTGTGAAAAGGGGAGGGCAGAGCTGGCCCCTATGGGCAGAACAGGGGCAGCTCCTCAGCCACAGCACTGCTGGCTTTGGCTGCATCCCATGTGTGTGCCCTGCTGCTTTCTTCCCTGGCAGGGGTCTAACGATGCTTTCTTGCAAGCAGTGCTGCGAATCGCTTGCTGCTCGTGATTGCTGTGTTGTTGCCTCCAGAGGGGAGGCTGAGCTGTGTGTGGGGCTCCAGGCTGCTGCCTGTGCTGTCGGTTCTTCGCCTTCTTCCTCTGAGCTCCAGCTGTGTTTATGCAGAAGACAAACCTGGTGCTGGGAGCTGCGTGCGCGGAGCTGTGTGCAGGCGGGGGACGAAGCTCCGTCCCATCTGTTGGCTGTGCAGACGACGGGATGCCCCGAACCAGGCGGATGTTTTCATTCCTCTGGCTGCACTGTGGCACACTCAGTTTCTCTGTGGCTTCTCTGCCCTGCAGGTAGGAGCCCAGGGCTGCACGTACCCGTGTCAGTGTCCTTCCCAGCCCCTGCAGTGTCCTGCTGGCACCAGCCACGTGTTGGACGCCTGCGGCTGCTGCAAGGTGTGCGCCAGGCAGCTGGGTGAGCTGTGCTCCCTGCAGAAACCCTGTGACCACCACAAGGGACTCTACTGTGACTTCTCCAACATCCACAGAGGCAGCGGGATCTGCTTAGGTGAGAGAGCCATGCCTTCTGTCCCTGCGTGCTTTTCTCTTTGTGCCTGCGATGCGGGTGGGAATGCCTGCAGCCCTGCAGGGGAAATATTCACTTCACTGAGAAGCGCTGCTGCACGCAGAGCCTCACCCAACCCTCACTGCCTTGTGCTGGAATTTGGCATTTTGTGCTCCACTGCTTCCCCGCAGGAGGCACGGCGTAATTCTGGCTTTAGCACATGGGTGCAAACAGATGAGCCAATAGTCTGTGTATGCACAGGGCATGAGAGCTGCTGAGCCAGGTAAATGCAAACGCAGACCTGTCCTCTCTCAGTTAGAGCTGGTGCTGCTTTCCAACCTGAATTGAATGGATTGAACACGTAGAAGGTGTTTTCTTCACTCTTTTGAGACACTGTGATAAATTCTCGGCTTAATTTTCCTCCCCTTGGTCGCAGAATCACACAGAATCACAGAACGGCCTGGGTTGGAAGGGACCCCAAGGATGGTGAATCTCCAACCCCCTGCCAACAGGGCCACCAACCTCCGCATTCAATACCAGCCCAGGCTGCCCAGGGCCCCATCCAACCTGGCCTTGAACACCTCCAGGGATGGACGGGGCAATCATCATCTTGAGAACACACAGCAGCCTCCCAGTGCTTTCTGTAGGCACTCATGCTGCTGAGTGATGCTAAATGGGGTCAGTGATACGATAATGTCCAGGGGGTGTAAGATGCATACTGCCCAATTAAGGCTGGAAATGAGATGTTTATAGCAGTAAAATCATTTGGATTGAGGGTAATGAAGTCATTAGGATAGTTTACGTGGGAATGTGGAGAAGTCTCTGTCTCAAAGACTTTATATGAATACTGGACATCTTCCTAAAAGAAAATGCTCTGTAATCACTGTGAGGTGTGGATTTGCAGCACAGATTTTGGAGTGACGGTCCCAGCTCTCTGCTGTGTAGGAAATCAGGCCCATGGTCTGAAGGCCACAGCTCTCCTTCCTGCCTTTAAGTGAGAAGTTGAGATTGTCATGGCGAAAATGGCAGCTGAATGTGGAGCAGAACGTCTCCCAGAATATGAGGGTCTGGGATACGATGTCCTCAGGTGGTGCTTCTGTCCCATCCATTCTGCTGGGAGGTGGGGAATTCCAGAAGTGTTGTGGGTACCCGGATAGGAAGGATGTGATGGGAGCAGGAAGAGCAGAGAGGTGCAAAACTATTTCAGACTGAAATGCTTCAGCCATTTCTCAGTGAAAGCATTCACAAAATGGGCTTTGCCTGTGAAACAGGGGAAAAAAATGGGCTGGTACAAATGTAAGAACGTGTGAGTGCCGTTAACGCTGTTGCTATGGGTTAAATGTTGCTGCCTTTCCTTTTTTGCACCTTTAATTTTGATCGGGAAGGAGTGAAAAGCTCGGAGGAGGCCTGGAGATGAGAGACACAGAGATCAGAGCAAACAAAGAGCTGGAAACGCTGCGGCAGGAAGGAAGATGGTCATCAGAGGGGATGATCACAGCAGAGCCCCGAAGGTCATAAACTCAGCGCATTGTTTTCCTTTTGTAGCCCACCTGGAGACGTGTGGGGAAGCAGCTGCTCTTAGGAGAACGTTGCCTTTTGGTCTCTTAAGAACAGCCAGGAGCAGAGCTCTGTGCAGGACGGGACCTTAGAGCATCGCTGCTGCTCCCACACCTCCTTCTCCTCCTTCCTCAGCTCGCGAGGGTGCAACGTGTGACCTGCTGGGCAAGGTGTATCACAACGGGGAGAGCTTCCAGCCCAGCTGCAAGCTGCAGTGCATCTGCCTGGATGGGGCCATTGGCTGCATCCCGCTGTGCTCAGCCGACCTGCGCCTGCCGTCCCCTGACTGCCCCCACCCACGGAGGGTGAAGATCCACAACAAGTGCTGTGAGGAGTGGGTCTGTGAGGAGGGCGGCCAGGAGGAGCGCTTAGAAACTGTCATGGCAGGTGAGAGATGGGCGGACGGAGCGGTTTGCTGGGGGATGGAGCAGACCCTGACTGCCTGCGGTCGCTTCATTTACAGCTGGTGGCTCTCGCTTGGTGCAGGGGGATGAACTGTGTCCTGCTCAGCATCCTGCGGGGGTGTTGGGTGTTTGCTGGGGCTGGGTGGCCACTGCGGCACCCTCGTGTGAGTTCCTTGCAGGCATCAGGACAGCAGAAGCAAAGCCAGGTCTCAGAGCAGCCTGTAAGAGCTGAAATCGAACCGTCAGAATTACAGAACAGTTTATAGAATTACAAAGATCACAGAAGCGTGGAACCACAGAATGGTTGGGTTGGAAGGGACCTTAAAGACCCCCCAGCTTTGCCTCCCACTGGATCGAGCTGCCCAAGGCCCCATGGGGTACCTGACCTTCGTGTCTCTTCCTCTCGGCTCAGTTTTCAGGGAGGATCCCAAGCCAGAGATGAACAACCTGCAGGAGAACTGCTTGGTGCAGACCACCGAGTGGAGTGCGTGCTCCAAGAGCTGCGGCATGGGCATCTCTGCCCGGGTCACCAACAACAACCCCCAGTGCCACCTGGAAAAGGAGACGCGGCTCTGCATGGTGCGGCCCTGTGACTTCCCCTGGGAGAAAGCCAAGGTAGGGCTCGGCGGAGGGGTGCTTGTATTTAAGGGCTTAGGATTTGCTCTGTGCCTCCAGTCTCTCTCTGTGCCTTCCTGCACAGCGGTGGTTCAGATTGAATATTAGGAAATATTTGTTCTCTGGAAGCGTGGGGGTGCAGTGGCAAGGAACTGCTGGGGTCACCGTCCCTGGAGGTGTTCCAGAACCATGGAGATGTGGCACTGAGGGTTTAGTGGGCATGGTGGGGTGGGTTGGGGTTGGACTTGGTGATCCTAGAGGTCCTTTGCAACCTCAGTGATTCCACGGACGATGCACAGCCCAGGTGAGCTTTGGTCTGACTGTCACATTCTTGTTGACCTGTTTGCTGCTGTTCTCTCCCTAGAAGGGAAAGAAGTGTGTGCGCGCCCCAAAGCCCCGCCAGCGTCTCCTCTTCGAGTTTTCAGGCTGCAGCAGCACCCGTTCCTACAGGCCCAAGTTCTGTGGCAGCTGTGCGGACGGGCGCTGCTGCACCCCATACATCACCAGCACTGCTGAGGTGGAATTCCGCTGCCCCGAGGGGGATTCCTTCCATAGGAAGATGATGTTCATCAAGGCGTGCTCCTGCCACTATGACTGCCCCCGGGACAACGACATCTTCCTGGCCACCTACCATAGGAGGATGATTGGGGACCACGTCAAAACAGACAGGCAGTAGCTCTCTGTGTGCCAGACCCACAGGACAGGGTGAAACGAGGGCTCTGCAATGTTCTCATGGCTGCACTCCGGGGCATCGCCGCCTCTCCCTGCTCTGTGAGGGGCTTCGTTCTTCACCACGGCGCCGTTCGCCTCCTATGGTCCTGGTGGCCTTGTTAATAACAGCGGATGAGGGATCAGCCCCATCTGGCTGACAGCACACATCTGTGCAGAGCTCAGCAGAGGAGCTGGGAGCAAGCTTGAGCAGCCACCTTAATCTGTTCTCCCATAGACTGGCTGGGAGAGTGGACTAAAGCCATTTGGCTCCAGCCTGGCTCCAGAGGGAGCGCAGTGGGCACAGCACCCTGTGCCATTCAGCTGCCACACTGTGCAGCCAGAGAATGGGACAGGGGAAGCTCAGGAGGTCAGAGCCAGCTGGCATTCCCAGCCCATGGCCAGCAGCACGGGGCTCTGATGTGTGCTGCTGCAAAGCGGCTCAGGGAGGAAAGTGCTGAGGCCCCACGCTGAGGTCCCACTGAACCTTTTAATTATGTTTGGTTAATTAGATTCAGCAGGTCAGCAAAAGCTCCCCTCATCCCCATGCCCACCCTTCGCCCTGCCTCATGCTTTCCAACAGCAGCTCTTTGCTCCTGGAGACGCCAGGATGCCCTGTTCTCTGCGCAGCTGAAGGCTGTCTTTTCTTTTTACGGTTAAATTCCTTTTAGCCTCGTTGTGCAGTGAGGATGGCAGCAAAGCCAGAGGCACGAGGAGGCTGTGGGGTGTTATTGCAGGAGCACTGCTCTCCTTCAGAGCCTGAGAGGTTCTTTCAGAGAGGAGAAGACCCAGACAGGTGTAGTTTCCTCCTTCAGACCCAAGGAGCATTTCTGCAGTGGGGCATAGCAAGTCTCCTCACGGTGAAATGACCACGTCCTGCTGTCCCCTCTGCAGTCCCTTCAGAAGCAGCTCTGCAGGAGCTCTGGCTCATGTGCACACAGCGGGGTCAGGAGCTGGAGGAGTAAAGAACTCAAAGCTCCCCAAGGGGAGCAGATCTGCTCTGAAGTTGGGCAATGACAGGGAGCTGGGGTCCCCTGCCTGGGCTGTCCCATGGCACCGAGGATCCAGGACAGCCACTCGTGAGCCCACAAGCCAGCAGGGTTCTCAGCAGCCTCATGCATTTGCTTCTGCTGATTTCAGTAGAAACATGCAGGGAAAGGCCTGACTTCGTGCCTTCCACCCTCCCCACCCTCTCTTTATCCCCACTGCTGCAGCCCAGCAGGATTACGGGCCACGCTACAGTGCTGAGCCCTTCCCTGTCCCCACTCCCATTCCAAAGCAAAGCTGTGGGTCCGGGCCGATCCAAACCCACAGCAGCTGTTCTCCCTTTGCAGCCCTTGATGCATTCCTCCCCCCAGGCTGCAAAACACAGCCCCCATCTCAGCCCCCTCCTGCTCCCATCCTGTGACCCTTCAGCCTGCTGCGTATCATCAGTGCAAACTGAAATAATTGATGCGATGGTTTCTTTTAAAGGCATTTGTACAGGTTTTGTATCCTAACCCCACTCGGGGCGATTCCACCTTGTAGATTCTCCTCTTTGCCCTCCAGCTCAGTTCTGAGCTTTTTTTGTCTTCCGAGCATCAAACTCAGCTGAGGTTGCACTTCACACCAATAAATCTCTATATTTTTTACTGCCTTTGCAGGGCCGGCAGGGAGGGGTTTCCAAGGGCTCCCCGTCCCGCATTGGGGATTGGGGATCCCGTGGGCGCTTTGCAGCCCGGCAGCGCCGAACGCCCGCTTACCGACAAAGGCGGCAGCAGCTGTGCGATAACAGCGCGCAGCACGAGAGGCTCTGCGGCAGCTTAGCGGCTTACGCGGCCCTCACGCAAACAGCCGGGGGCCGTGGGGGGGGTGGGGAGGACCGGCACCGTCCCTCCCGTATCAGCGGCGGCCGCGTGTGCGGTTGCGATAGCCCTGGGTGTGTCCTTATCAGCGCCCGCAGCCCCACCGGCACCGCGGGGTCGTTTGGCAGCGCGGGGTCCGCCGTGCGTGGAGACGGACAGCACAGTGCGTGTATGGGGGTAAGGGGTCCCCGCTCCTTCTATGGCGCGGTGACGTCACGGAGCCAAAAGGCGCGACCCCGAACCCCGCGGGTAGATTTCCCGCCCGCCGCCTCGTGACGTCACGCCCCACCTGCCCGCCCCGCCCACTGCAGCGCCGCCGCCGGCCCCTCCCCCCCCGTAACGCCGTGCCGGTGGGCGTGGCCGGAGCGGAGTGGGCGTGGCCGGTGGCGCGGGGGCGGTGCGCGTGACGTCACAGGGGGCGGGGCCGGCGGCGCAGGTGGAAGCGGCGCGGAGCGACCCGGTGAGAGCGGCGCGTGCGGGTGGTCGCGGCGCGTGCTGCGGGGGGGGCGCGGGCGCTGCGGTCCTGGCTCCCGTTTGTTGCTGTTGCGGGGCTGCTGCGCGCTGCTGCTCGGCGGGTTCTCAGCTGCGGCGCTCGGAGCTGCCGCGCAGTTGGCCCCGTTCTCTGCTCGGGCCGCGGTGTCCGGGCTGCGGGTTGCCCGTTCCGGGCTCGCCGGGGTTCGCTGTTCCCATGCGGTGTATAGTGGGGGCTGCTCCTTGCCGTGTCCCCATCTCTCCCCAGTAGCTGTCCCAGAGGCGTTAGGGCATTGCTCGGCCCGCCGCTCTTCCCCTCCGTCGAAGTCGCTCCCCGTGCCCTCCCAGGCGGTTCCCGAAGGCAGCGGCACAGCCGCCTCCTCCCGTCGCTTCCCGGGCCGCGGTGCCGCTCGGCCCTCAATCCGCGCTGTTCCCGGCCCATCGTTCTCCCCTCGTTGCCGTCCGCTTTCTGCTGATATTGCAAAGGGGACCGAACGTCCCCAGCAGCCCTTCAGTCTCATCCCGTAATTCCCTGTCCGTCCCGGGCTGATCCCATCCGCTCCTCCAAACCGGGGGGTTCTGGTTCCCCGTGTCCCGGTGGGCTCTGAGCCAGAGTTGCAGGGGACGGTCGCTATCTTTAGGTCGGCGTTGCAGTGCAGGGCTGCGCCTTTGGCTCGGCGCGGAAGCTGCCGCCTCGCTGGGGATTGATTTACCCGAGGCTTTTGCTTGGGGAAAATGAACTAAGCGGGCGCTGGGAGGTGGGGGAGCAGCGGGGCCGGATGATGTGAGCAGTCAGAGGGCAGGGGATGTTCAGCAGCGCCTCAAACCTCAATTTCCCTGCAGCGAGGGGCTGCATCGAGGCAAGTGAGGTTTTTACTGGCTGCTCCCCGGAGCCTCCCCAGCCCTGCAGCTCTAATAACGGCACTGATGCATTCCGAGAGCCGGGCTCGGTGCTGCTGCCCTGCATGCCCTCCTTCTGCACGGTAATCGGGTTGGCCGTGGGAGTAACTTGCAACCGTGCCAGAGTTTCAGGTGTCACAGGATTGAGGTTCCCAGCGCTGCTTAATCCCGTAGCCTCTGCCCTACGCGTGCTGTGGGTCTGCAGCCCCTCCGTGCCCAGGTGGGGTTCGGATTGAGGTGTGCAGCCGCTCCCTGAGCCCGCTCAGATGCCTTCCCTGCTCAGCTCCGCAGTCCTTTGCATTTCACACTCAGAGTGGGGCATGATGGGAGCAGAGCGACAGCAAAAAGTTCCTCCGTTGGTTGAGCTGCGTCCTCAGGGCTGTGCTCGAGGTGTTCTCTGTGCTTTGCTTCGCCTCTCCTTTAAGAGCAGCTCCGGGCCTTGAGAGGCTTTGGCATCGCCGAGCTGCAAAGTGCCGCCTCATCTGCAGCGGCGGTGGAGCTGTCTGCAGTGCAGCATCACCTGGCCCCACTGCTGGGGGGTGGGTGAGAGGCAGCCGCCCTCTGGATGGAGTTGGAGCGTTCCTCGCCCGTGTGACAGAGGTTCTGCTCTTTGTTTGCAGCCGTACCCCCTGGTCCTGTTGGAGTGCAGCTCTGTGCTTTGGTGCAGGGCAGCGTTTTGGCTTCTTTCTTTGGGCTGCGGCAGCTGAAGGTTTGGGGTTGGCTCGTGTTTGGTGAGGCTGAGTCAGGCTGGTGCTGCAGCCAGGAGCAGCGCGGGGCCGTGGGGACGGACGGCTGCTCCGTGGCAGTCGGGGTGTTGCACCCGCCGACCATCAGGGCTGTCACCCCGAGCTGGGCTCTGTGGGGGCTGCACGAAGTGGGCTGTGTGCTTCTTTCCACTAGAGGCTGCTGATGAACAGAGGATCGGCGTTCCTTGGCTCTGCCCGAGCAACGGGGTCTGGAGTTCTGAGAGCTGCTCCGCACGCCTGCTCTCCTGCCGACCCGCGGTAACTCTCTGCATTTTGTTAGGTCTCAATTAGGATGCAGAGGGGCTCGGCTGTGTGCGCTGTGTTGGGACACCGATGGCAGCTCCCAGCCCTCTTCCCTGTGGCATTTTCCCAGCTGCTCGTGGCGGGTGCTGAATGTGCCCTGTGCTGTGCGCTGGAGGTGTGTGTGCAGCAAGAACTGCTCGCCCCTCCAGCAGCAAAGCTAGGGGTTGGTTACAGGCTGTAGGGAACAGCTCAGTGCATGGGAGGTGCCATCAGGCAGCAGGTAGGCTCTGCTTGGGGCAGCGGTTTGGTACCTGGTGCTGGGACAGGTTGGAATCCTGGAAAACCTCAAACCTTGGGAAGATGATTAATTGCTGAACAATTACGTGTGAAGTGCGAAGCGCTCTCTGCTGCGTGCTGGGAGCCATGGCGGAAGGTGCCTGGGAAGGAATTTGCACCCAACCTGCAGTGGTGGCTGCCAGCTGGCTCCAGCCCCATGCCACGATGGGCAGGGCAGTGGTTTACATAACACAGGGCTTGCAAAACAAGCTGGAAGGCCTGGAAAATCCTCCTGCTGTTGTCATTACTCCAAGTTGTTGAACTTCCTGGTTGGATCCATGGATCTAATTATTTTATTTGGGGGGGGACAGGGATTGCACTCTGCACGGTGAAAAGAAAAGGGTGTTTTATGGTGTTTAATCCATGCCTGCTCCTGAGATGAAACTGTTTTTGCTGTTCAGAAGAGGTTCTGAGCAGCTGCTCCCTGCTTTATGGGGCTCCTGGTCGATCCAATTAGTGTGGTTTGTCTGCAGCCCCTCCTGCTGCCCTTGGGGAAAAGCCTGGAGAATCAGGCATGTGTGCAGAGCACCAGGAGCAGCACGTGCACCATCTGGGCTCCCACTCCACGTGTGTGCCCAGGAGCACGGAGGGGCAGGTAGAAGAGGCTTTGTGTTGCCTAAGCTTCATGTGAGCCATTCAAAAGGCAGAGCTGTAAAACTGCCTCTCGTTTGTGGCTTTTGGGAGAAGAAGAGGTTTGGAAGGGAGCTTGGATTTGCAGTTGCTGGAGTTTTCTGCCTCCTCCTCAGTGTTTTGGAGGCAGCTGGGAAAACATGCCTGGAGGATGCTGAGCCTTGGGCTTCCTAGAATCACATCATCCAGTTCCAATGCCTGCCATTGGGGCTCACCATTTTAAGATCAAGCCCCAACTCTCCCCCTCTGAAGCATTTTAGGGAGCACGGCCCGTCCTTGCTCTTCCCTTTGCTCATCCTAAAGCCCTTTGCAAACACAAAGTCACTGACATCCTCTGCAGCATTCAATTAAATTAATGAATCCTATTAAAGTGTTCTCTGCTGCTGTTTGTAAATAGGTGACTAAGGAACTTGCATTTCCCTGCAGGTCCTGGGAAAGCCTTGCTGGAGGAGCAAGGAATGAAATCAGCACTTGGTGGTCTGCTGAGCATGTGCTGAGATTTGGCAGCCTGGTAAGCAGCACAACAGGGAGGATGCAGTGATGGTTTTACTGCTTGCCAGGCAGCACCAGCCTTTAAGGGCTTGGATTTCTGTGTCTTCCCTCCAGACATCCTCGTGGATGGGTTCAGCTGCTTGTTGGCATTTCAGAAGTTCAGGGCAGCTTCCTCCCTGCAGGAGGAGTTTGTGTTGAGCAGCTGAGCGCCCGTCCTGAGTCATCCCCATGAATCTGCACAAATTCAGATGCTGACTCTGAAAGCTGTCCCTTAAGAACACCGACTGGAGCCAGGCTGAAGCAGACATGGTTGCTGCATTGCCTGGCTCTGGCAGTTTGCACCTCCCTTCCCCTACAAACTCTGCTCCCTGGCCTTGTGTTGCTTGATATTGGGGCTGTGACTGCAGCTCAGCAAACCGTGGTGGTTGTATCCCAGTGCTGCTCTTCGTGCCACCTGGCAGCACTGGGCTGGATGAAGAAGCTCATTTGCACGGGGCTGTTAATTCTCTGTATGTTTTAATCTCCATGACCATCTGTGTTCTTGCCGGCGCTGGGGAGATGGAAGCTCGTGGGATTTATTCTAGGAGGTGAACACAGAGAGGACTGTTTATTCTGTGTCTGTTGAAAAGTGCCCCGGGTCAAAGCAGGACAGCCTCATTAGCTCTGGGAACGGCTCTCCCTGTGTCTTCAGGCGGGGCTCTGTGTGGCAGCAGCTGTCCTGTAAACAAGCAGGGGGCTTCGTGAATGCTTTCAAGCAAGGCTCTGTGCTGGGCTTGGCTGGTGCTGTGGGCTGGTTTGTGGAGAAGGCATGAGCTAAAGCACCTCTGGCCTTCCGTAGAGCCCAGCCCAGGCTGTCGGCCCTTGGGGT